TTCATGCCCATCCACAGCTCCGTGTGCTGGTCCTATCCAGCCTGAGCTCAGTATGTTTCATGACATCTTTCAGGACACATCAGAAAGTAAAATTTATCATTTCCACAAAACACAATCTATAATCAAATGATATTTTGGAAAATGTCTTGACACAAATATTTGGATGGAAGAGGTTACATACAGAAGCCTATAGCTAGATGGTCATACTTCAAGTATATAAATACTGAAAACCTATAAAATATATACATGTTTAATGGAAAAATAACTAACAAAAATGTAGTAAATAAAATGAAGGGTGCATAGCATTGTGTTATGTGCACAGTTACCATCAACATGCACACTTATTACATTACATGCAGCATATACCTACAGTACATATGCAAGGTACGTGTCTGCTCCCTTTTTGTGCAAAAATGCTAATGCACAGCTGATAAAGAACCATTGTGTTTAGCTCCATTTCATTCTAATGAGAGAACAGTGGGCGCACTCTCTGGTGGAAGACTGAACACAAACTAGCAACGTCTCACAATGGCTGCATTCATCTAAATGGATTCTATTTCTCTGTCCTGTGCCCCCTCACTCTCTCTCCATCATATTCCTTTATTTTCTGCTGCCTTTTCACCTCCATCTTTCATTTTATATCCACATTTCCATTGTGTTTCTCAGATTTAAATAGGATAAATGACACACAAGGCAGACAGGTCTCCTTCTAATATCACCATTCCCCTAGTCATTACTTTCTCTCTGTCCATAATTTAGTCCTTTCATACCTTCTTTTCATTTTATTCTGTAGTTACTCATCTGCAGTTACCTCTGTGTGTTATCAATTTCATGCTCATCCACAGCCCATCATTGCAGCCCATAAAGCCTGATTCCATTATGTTTTATGAGGGTTCATTTCATTACCGCAGCGATAATAAATGATTATTCAACAGAAATAAGCAATACCTCAGACATAATGAAAAGCTAACCATGACACACCATCAAGCAGCCTCTGAATAATAGGGTCTCTGGCAGCTGCAGAGCCAAGTCAACGTGTAATAATTATTTTTTGTTGCTCTATTATAAACACCCAGAACAAAGAAATGAACAGGTGACTAGCACTAAACAACAAGGTTATAAATGTTTCTCAAGGCTCTAAAACCTTTGGTTACTACAGACTGAGTTTGTTTTTGTGTTATATGATCTTCAGCGTCTTTCTAATATAAAGTTTGCTTTTTCCTACAGTTGTACAATTGGCACCGTCACACCGCTGAGGTCAAAGGCCGCAGCTGCAGTAACACTTTTTGTCAATCAACTAATCGATGAAAATAAGCATGGATCACTCTCCTTCCTTCTTCACATCTTCAGATTTGATCATGAGGGCGGCTGTGGATCGGGAGGTAGAGCAGGTCGTCCTCTAACTGTAGGGTCATTTACCATGATGTGATTGTACAGTGAGTATTCATAGAGAATCTTAAAAAACACTGGCAAAGATACTGCATGAAATTAATGGCTCTGCTCCAATGTTGTACTTCAGATGATTCACAATCTTGATGATGCAAATACGCAGTACAGTAACAGACTGAAGTTAAAGGCTTTCAAGCAGCTGATACTTAATAATACTGCAGTGAAAAAGTAATGACTTTTAAAAATGTAATAGTTTCATGAAAGACCTAATTACTTGACTTGGTTCAGCAAAATTTTCAATCAAACAATAGCTGATTAATTGATAGCTTATTATTAACTTTCATATAAAACAAACGTGCCAATCATTCGACCAATCGTTCGGCAGGCAGTAAGTCTTGAAAATATAAAGTTTGGTGCTTTTCTTAGTTTTAACACGTAGACACATTCAGTGTCTCTGTTGGTGTAAATACCATCTTTGGGCTCATAATGACAGTAACTGCTACTCCCTAATCAGAACCATTGTTAATTTTGTCCTAACAGTGCTACTAATGGATTCGTACCTGTAGCTGCTGCAGGTTGCTCCTGGTGGTAAAGGTAGTGAGTTGCAGCAGTCGAAGGTAATTCCTCTCAGACTGGACCAGCTCTTCTATGGCCAGCAGCTGTCTCTGGGCTGCTCTCTCTTTAGCTGCTGCTTCCTCGTCCTCAGATTTCCTTTTGGCCTCTTCAGCCTCCTGTGCTAACCTCTCCTCTGATATTGAGCTCTCCTCTGTAAAACTATCCTGTGTGGACAGTCTTGATCCCACAGAGGAAACGTTTGAATATAAATGTTCTGAGGTCTTGGCTGAGACATCAGGAAACACAAATGTACCAGACCCCTCCTCTGTACTGAACATCTCTTCTCCAAACTGATCCTTGACTGAGGCTCCCTCCTTTTCCTGGAGCTTGTCTTTCTTGATGACCTTCTGTATAGCTCTAAGGGGAGGCAGAGCTGATGAGGCAGGTTTAAGGAGAGCCAGCGTGAAGGTGGAGGGCTGAGGCCTCCTGGGCACCGCCATAAGGGAGATCACTGTCAAAAAGAAACATAGTTCAGAAGCTGTGTTTACAGCTTATATTACTGCCTCATCATAAGAAACTGGGTCTGTGCCTTCTTTATATTAACTATTAAAGCACGTCCATCATAGCCACAGATACAAGATCACATTGTACTAAGCCTTAGAATCTTAAATTCCTCCACTATTGGTTGAATTTATCTTTATGTTCAGGCACAAGTTTGTCCAGAGTTTTGACTCGTGCTGTAGCAGTCATGCAGGAGTTCTCCCTAATCAAATCTAATCAAGCCTTCCAATCAAATTTACATTTTTTTTTAAATTAGTCCGCAGAAAAGAAAACACCTCATCAACATCAGTTTTCACAAGTGCAGTTCTATACAAAAGCAGTAAAAACAACTAGAGAAGATGAGCTGCAGCTGACAGAGCTGAGTTTCTGCAGAGAATAACTTTATAGGTGCTCCCCCTGTACATGCTCTATCGTGGCATGTGTACGTACGCACAGTGCCAGAGACAAGTCAAAGGCAGCACATTTAGCACAACTATCCTGCAGCTGTATCTGTGATCTGTATGGCCCTGAAACAAACAAATGCAGAGTAACAGCATGAAACGTGCTACATAAGGCGATGACAACCGCCATGCTGCTGGAGACAACCAGTGTTCCACAAATAGCCTTTTCCCTTCTCAGTTGAAGGACCATCTTCAACATCTATATAGACTGGAGAGAGCTGCCATTGTCTTTCTTGGCCAAAAAGAGGAGGAATCATTCAAATTCATTTCCCAGCATCTACCCTTTTGGCAATATGAGAACAGAGTTCAGGAAAGTGTTTCTAAACATCTTGATCAGTCTCCCACTGGAAACGTTCTAGATTTTCAAAGCAGACGACACGACGTGCCTACATTTGATTTAAGGTTTAACACTTGAAGTTTGACTAGTTCTTACAAAAAGGGGAACAACGTAAAACAAACAAGTTGTGGATTACCACTGCAGATATTCATTTGGCCTTTTTAACTGCATCAACCAGCACAGATGAAGAAGCACAGCTGTACATACAGAGACATTGTTTACATTGTTTACTGCACCGAAACATATGGGAGGAGATGTACTGTCATGGATCCTCTGAGCTGGAACACCAGGAGGGTGGCAAGCTGCTTACAGAGCGACTAATGCAGCCACCGCTGTGACAATTAGCCATTACATGGTTCAGATGAACAGCCTTCTGTGGGTCTAAAGGACAGTTTTATTTTTCACTCGGTGGCTATATTATAGAGTCTGTGTGAGGATTTAGCCCTGTCAGCAGTTTAGCAACACAGCTCAGGGTTTCTTCATCTGCATCAAAGGCCTGATCCTGCATAGGACTGATAACATGTTATACCATTCATTATTAAATCTCAGCTTCAGCTGCAGCCTGATGCATGAATGTACACATTAAAACGGTTCTACTTTGGGTGGTTTACTTTGCTGTCTGTTTAAACTGGATGTGATGGCCCGTTCTTAAACGGTGCATCGCTGAGAACATATGTTGAAACATGACCAAATGATGTGCTCGTGCAGCACTATCATGCAAACAAATTACATTTGTTATAATTAGTGTGCAGTGTGAATCTGAGTCAACTCTAAGGAGCATCAAAAATGTGGCACTGTAAATTATCCACTTGTTGCTCACACAGACAAACAAAATGTTCATTAAGATGTTCATTAAGTACACCTTGCTAAAACAAAATCCATCATTTTAAACCTTTTAAAGGTTTAAAATGTTTTTAAGTTCCTCTTTTTTAGTTCTTATCTGTATGGCTACAGTAAACGATGTTGTTTATTTATATTGTTAAATCACTGTCATCATCAATGAGCTAATCCTTCTCTCTCAGATTTTTCTTTTCCCTCCAACCAAAGGTCTTGGGGTTTAGCAGAATATGCTCACCCAGAGCTGGAGACAGCTAAGATTTACAACTACAGTTGAGTATCAAGCAAGTCAAGTCAAGATTTTATTTGCCATTTATCTATAAACAGACAGTCTAGGCATATAGGAATTCTTGTGCCACTCTCCTTTGGAGTCAGGTAAGGAGTCAAGAGCTAGAAAGAACATTTAGTCTTAAAATCAATAATTACAGAGGGCGACAAAGTGTTAAAACACAATACCCAAGGTAGGGGTAATCGTATTTCCCACAGTGAACTTCAAACGTCGCACTTAGTAATTCACATGGTGGAGTTGGATATGGCATTTCGCTTGGTGAGGTACTGAGGGGTTATTGCACGTTTCTCACATTTGCCATCAGTCTTACTGCAGCAGTGAAAAAGCTGTTGTAAAGTCTTGTTCTGTGTGTGATGATACTGTCCGCCCTGCTGTGCCTGAGGTTGTAGGTGCAGTTTTTGTGTCTGAGCAGAGTGTGAACTGGGTGGCACGGATCCCTGATTATGTTCTCTGCCCTTTTACAACAGTGCTGTGTGTACAGTGTGTCCATAGCAGGCAGTTCAGCCTCAGTACTTTTAGCAGTGGCACGAATCAAAACTGAATCAAAAACTGGATCAAAGGGCTAAAAGCTGCCATCGAGTTCCTGCATGATGAGTTAAGTTTATTATTATGCAAATCAAAATCCTGCTTGCTCTAAAGTATTTTACCCAAAGCCTGTTACGAGCTGTTATGTTTATACAGACGTTAACATTTGGGAACTTTATAGATGAAAATGTAGCTTGTAGAAAAACACAACTCTAAAAGTAAGGTATTCATATAAGTATTATTTTGATAGGGGTAACCAATATCAAATTGGCGTTAGTCATAAGCTCCTTACAACAACGATAGCACACAAACACAGAGCAAAACAGATGAGTCAACGTCACAATCTGATGCAAAGTGTTTGTACACCAAAAGCAGGTGTGTCACAGTTGCAGACTGAGACATCTGCTGCCCACAAGCTAAAACCTAAAGCAGAGTAAACCCTGTACCACCCGCACAATGGCAACATGTGTAAGAATGCCAGAGTCACATTAAAAACATTCCCTGTACATGAGATAAGGCTATCGTTACCTCAGTCCCTGATTCAGCTGCAGTGAACTTCGGTCTGCCCTCTCTCGCTGTCTTGCTGTGCCGAGCAGAAATTTGCTGCAGAGGAGACGCTGCTGCATGGAAAACACGAACACACGGTGGTGTAACTTTCTCCAGTGACTCACATCAGGCTGCTGCTGGAGTGTGTGAGTGTATATTCACAA